ATATTCTCTCATATTAAAATTAGTGTTTTACAGGAAAGTAGATCACTTATACTTGTATTTTTCCATAGAACATATTCGACCGATATTTCCAGTTGTGAAACGAAGCGCTTGACTACAGACATGACATTCTACTCTATTGTCAAGTTCCACATCTAGCAAGAAAAGGCGAAAGGCGACCAACTCACAACTGTATAGTCGCTTCAATCAGTTAAATGATGACTTCGAACCCTGACCATTGACTTCAATAAGGAGTGAAACGCTGTGTAATAATTGCTTTCCCACTTCTCATTATCACACTCCGGAGGTCAATAATAATAAGTAATCAATCACTGTAAGCTCGACAAACATTCTAGCAATCCTAGATAACAATAACTCAACGAACATCTTGAATAATCAGCGGAACACAAAGTAATTATTCCCTCGGATATCTGACTAGACACACTCAGAACACTGAGGATAAACAATACCGAGAAAATTACTGACTTTCCAGTAAACACATTGAGAAACTCTCTCCGCATCGGTCAGATAAGTTCAGGAAAATAACAGTTCGGTTCCAGATTGACCACAAGTAGCATTCTTCTGAAGAGGCTGGTGATAAGGGGATACAGAGAGAGTGAGAGTGAGAGTGACGAAGGACTAGTCGAGAAATGCACCAATCAAAATACACTCAGTGTTATTTACGCCTACAGTTGGAATAACAGACAATTGATCAACCAATCAATATTGTTATTTTAATCAACGAACTATTGATATTTAAAAATATTTTCCTTTTGTTTATAGACTTCGGTTTTCAGCCTAATCACACGTCCGTGCACTTTTACTTTGTATTCTCCATTAACTAGTCGGGTCAGGAATCAACTAGGAAGTCAAAATCAGAATCAATATGATGCTCTCCTCACATTCTAATTCAGTTTGATTTCGATGAGGATGAGATCTCCTGAATAGGCAACCAGTGTGGATGAGATCAAGCGGTAGTAGTGCATCACGAATTCAAATGGTAGTTGGGTGAAACCCCGTGACGACTGAAATGAAGTAAAAATGTGCTCAGCAGTCAGACCTCGTAGCTCAGTCTGTGGAGCATCGACTTGGAAGCATAGTGTTTGCTGCTTCGAATCGAGCCGTGGTCAGAGTCAGAGAGATAATCATCGATATCTGATGTTGATTACTTCTGACAGACATATCAGAGTTTCTTAAATGTATCTAGACTAACTAGATGCAAATGACGCCATCTGTGTAGGAAGGCGTTGAACGTTGATGACTGGCTGCCTGTCTGACAGTCAATAACCACCCATCATTATCAGCTCATAACAGTTTGAAATTAAAATAAAAATCTTTTACAGTCTCTGTGAATCAATCAGTAAATTGAGCACTTTCATGTACAGCTCAGTAAGTGATCTATGCTTGAAAACGAATGGTCATATGAAAACAGGCTGAATGCAAGAAAATCTGAAATCAGAAGAAATCAAGCTGGACGAATGAAAATCACAAGAAGTTGTGCACAGTGGACGAATTCTGGTCAGCGCATTTATGATATGTATATTAGAAAGTTAAGGGATGTCATTTCAGCGATACACTGAAATGAAGTCACCCTAAACTCCGTTAACAAATCATATATTAATGATGGGTAAAAGGCTAGCAGTGGAATCCAGGGGACGTGTCTCGTCCTATTCAGGACTCTTCAGCTGGACATACCTGCCTCCTAGTGAGTGATGTTGTTCCCACTGGGACTCGAGCTCTGGGTCGTTCGGTTTAAATGCCACAGCGTTTTCCACTGAACCACCGAGTCACGATAGCCACTTCTAACACAATTGGTATAGTTTTAACGTTGTTGCTTGTTAGCCAATGTTATATAAGAATGAAAAATTTAATTCACAAAAAGTAATGACAGAAGTTGATTTCCTTCGTAAATGTGTCACTCTTGGTCAATCAATTCATCGCTGCTTCATAGGGACAAAAATATTCCTCCCACTTAATGTTTTTCGAAATAAGCATACTTAGGATTTATACTGGGTGATGATGATTGAAGGTGAAATGAAAGATTGGATCGCGGACTAATTCGAACCAGTGTAAACCGAGTTTTTGGTCTGATACTCTACCAAATGAGCTATGTGGTCCGACAACTGACCAGATTCTTACTTCATTTCATTCACGAAGGTTCCCACCCAACTACCATTTGAATTCGTGATGCACTACTACCACTTGATCTCATTCACACTGGTTGCCTAGTCAGGACTTCTTATCCTAATCGAAATCAAACTGAATTAGAATGTGAGGGGGAGCATCAGACTTATTCTCATTTTGACCAGTATCCGAGATAACTTTGGTTTGGCAGACTAGTATTCATACTGGGTGATGATGATTGAGGTTGAAATGGAAATTTGTCAGCGGTTGGATTTGAACCAGCCACCACTGGGTTTCCGGCTCAATGCTCTATCAACTTGCTGCTGACCACAGTTTGATTTCACTTCAATCACTTACGATTTGCAGATGGACGGTAAACATCTATCTGAATGCGGTCAGACGAAAATGTCAACACTTCAAGGAAGGACTACCACCTGAGGAAACGATTCTAGAGCTTTCATCTTTAATCTGTACTGTTACACATACACACGATCAGGAGAATCTTGTCAAACAGTTTCGCATTCCACTGGGTTGCTTGTAATAAAGTGGCACTTCGTCTACTAGTAGGTTTCCTTATGCAATTTTTAACCTGATAAATTTGTTCTACTAGTTACAAGCCACTTCGGCCCCCATTCCGAATCCATCCAGTTGCTTCAGCAGTCCATCACTTGTGATGGACGAGATTTTAATTGAATCCAAAGGATGTCAATTTTAAGATGCACAAAATGCAATCACGACCAAAACATGCACAGATAATCAAAAGTATCATTTTTAATAACTTCATAGACGACCATTCACACTGTGATATTTAACTCTGACATACAACATTCGATCACTGAGAAAAGCAATATATGAAGTAGGCTTCCTGTCATGGTTTCGCATGACTACTCTTAGATTAGCATCTGCAACGAATCACACACGATTATCTTTCGATTTCACATTGCCGAAAAGATATTTATCAATATTTATCGTCAGTACGATATGTTGATCAACCAACCATGTATAATAAAGAAAGATTTTATCAGGAAGCAAACTGTGGTCTATCCATTCGACTTTCCAGCCACATAGATAAACATTGTACCAATTGAAATCAAAATGATCACTTTCAGAAACTTTTCTATTGTCAAAGAAAGCAAAACAATTCAAGGATCTCTCACAACGTATACTAACAAAGACATTTTAACAATCTACAAGTGAATCGAATGAAGAAGAAATTTATTTCATCAGTGAAATGAAGTATAAAAGGCATAAGTGAAAATCTCAAGTTGAAATTATTGCACAATTCGTTTTATCACACTTAAGTAAGTTGGTAGTACAAAGTATTACCTGTTAGTTGTCACTTTGTTCGATTTCCTATTCAACGCACACTCTTCAATCATTGTGAGACTGTTCCTTGCTTCTTTCGCATCCTCAGTGAAGACATTCACACTGAAATACTATCTACTCCTAGAAACAGGATATTAGTAAAACACGATGACATCACGAATATAAATGATACAAAACGTTTAATTTCACGATAACCGGTGAAAACACAAATCAGCGAGATATTACGCTTATGCCTGACAACTTTCACAAATCTAATCTAACTACAAAGATGAGCCAGCAAGAATTATTCTTCATTTCACTCTTCTCTACACCACCTTACTTAACAACAATTACAATATGTGATGGATTCTGTGAAATCGATTTATGCCTGAGCATAGTATGCTCATCCTGGATTCCACTGCTGGCCACGATGCATCATTAATATGTGCATACAATGGTTGTAAATTTCCTCAACATTTTGAAATGAATGTTTTCTGATGAAAAACCACTGAACTGATTCCCTAACTGACTGCAACTGCTTCCTCGTTGTAAATTGCGGAAACGCATAAAAAGCCATCGAATGAGAAGATGATATTCAACGTAATAATAATGATAATAAATTTGTTATATTCCAGACCATAATTGTTTCTATCGTACAGAGTTTTCAGCATGTGGTATTGCATCAATTTACCCGTTGTACAACATTTTTCAGATGTACACCAACAATGATGATGTTTACTAATACCTAATAAAGAATAACAGGATTATTGAAATGATCAGCAACTTCTGAGATATGATAACTGATCGCTATTGCAAACGTGATTGATACGACTATGTCTAACATGATTTTCTTCACACAATACACACGTCAAATAAGGTGGTATGGTTGAATTTTTGTATGCAGTTGTGCATGCATAGACTTATATATATATATATAGGCTTCTTGTCTTCGCAGAGAACAGATATAGAGGGAGGTGCGGATGCACAGGATGCTCGTTATCTGATCAAATACTTTTAGCCAGATGTCTACATGAGTTTAGATGTCCATCCACGATTTCATTTACCATCACGGTTAGTAGTGTATCAATCGTTCTACTAACAGCCTTGAAAATCCCACACAATACAGAGTAGTCGTTTCTCCATAGTTCAAGAAAGAATAAGGCAAAACACACGAACTAACGAAATTCAAGAGTAGAGGCTGAGTTAGGTCAAACAACCTGAGTTTGCTTATTTGTAGATCGAGTGGGAGATTCTCCTGGAGATAAGTTAGTAAGAGGAGAAGGATCAGAAGAAAAATACAGGCCACGATCAATCACACTTGATACATTCTCTACAATAAAGCCATCAATAGGACAAGAGTCATAGAAGTAAAGCAATCTACAAAAGTCTTGTTCACGTCTCAACCTAAAACTAACCGTTTGATATTTGGAGAAATTGAGTGTGAGGTCATTTGATGAAGACCAGTCACCAATTACGGTTAGGAAGTTACTTAAAACGAGAACAATGTGAAGAGGAGATGATCTGCATGGACACTGTTGGGTCATCTGTGTACTTAATAAGTTTAGGTCTAGTTGAAGTTGGTAAGTAATGCAAAAAAGAAAGAGAAAAGGAAAAACAATAGCACCTTCAGATACACAGGATTCAACAAGTAGAGCAGTAGACCGCTTCCCTCTGTGTAGAATCCACTATCTTCTCTCGGAAAACTAACAATCAAGTCAGTTCAGAATCCAATACATAGTGTTACTTCTGACAAGCTTGTTCAATAAAATGGGTCTGCAGATAGAATCCATGACAGAAGTATAGTCGAAGAATCCAGATCTAACATACTTAGCAACCTTGTTCAGAATGACAATGATATTATGATGCAAGACAACTTCAGCATCTAAAGTACTCATTCTGCGTTTGTAGACAAACTGATGTGGATTGCTACAAGCCTACATTCGACATCCAAGCACACGGAGGAACAGTTTTTCCGATCGGTTGCAATTTCACACTTACACGAGAATATATGGATGTAGATACCGGAACTATTTTAATCTCCTGCCAGACAGTTGACACTTCATTCTTGACAAAACACATATTGAAAATTTTTATGAGTGGATAACACAAAATATCAGCACATCTGCTGAGTAGACTATCTGTGGTGCCATCTGATTCGAGGCCATGTCAAGCTTTCGATGATTTTAAACATCCAAGCACATCTTTCTTTCGTTGAATTTAGGAAAACTGACTTCTGTTATGTGTGAAGAACTAGGCAAGATCATATTAGCAGGTTTACGTGTAAATGACCGATTTGTTGCAAAGACATTTTCGTAGGCTTCATTTCTAGGTTTCCACTCACCAGTAAGATCATATAAAAACTCTCTACATGCTAGAATTTTCTGGTTATACATTCCTGATACTGAATTAACACTATTCGACACTACAAAATTAATCATTTATTCATCTTGAACACTTGGCATCACACAACAAGTAATCATAAGAAAGACCTCACTTCGGTCGCATACATCTTCTCTATTTCTGACCATTGATATAATGGTGAACATCTGACTTGACTTTGAATGGACATGTTGTTCTGGAGAAACACGAATGCTCAACTAAAAGGCTTCACAGCCTTGGAAACTGACAGGCTTGTAGCTGTTTTGTCTGTCTAGTGACACTGTGTATCCATGTCCATCACCTCAGAGTTATAACCAAAATAAGAATAATCATGACAGAGAGAGAAACTGCAACAGAGTTCCACTGGTTACCAAATTCATGCTATATATCAAATCCATTGGAAACCAATTCAACGGAAGCTCATGCATTGAAGTAGGCAAAGCGACAGGGACACTGATGAAATCAATAACATGCAAACGTGCCTAGATTCAACAGCTGACGGTCATTCATATTAAAAATGAGTTGTGTCATCTAGATGGCAAACAAATGACAAATTTCTGTGAAGCTATCAACCTAGTATAATATATAGCTGTGTGGAAGGATCAGTGGTCATCCTGTTGTTGAAACACCCTGATTGCTTCACATGTGCAGAACATTCTGAATTAAGCAATTATGCTACTACTAACATCGACTTTCCAGTTGTTGATCACTTACTCCTAATGTGATCCGATTCCCTGAGTAACCACCTCCTATCGAAGGCAGTACTTCAGCGATTTCTCACGTTTTGACGGTGTATTAACTGGAAGACAGAACTTCCTCTAAGGATCAGTAATAGACAAAAATAATTGATTAGGATAAGAGTAAAATGTACACACCACGGTTGATTGCAATTCCATTCGCAAATCTTATCATTTGTATCAGTTAGTAAAAGAGTATATTATTGGCTGGATATGCCAATCTACTGTATACTATATCTATCTCATCAACAAATAGAAGCAGTAATCCACGTTCAGGTGTACTGAGCTCATCAAAAGATAATTAAACTGGGTGATGATGAATGAAGTTGGAATGAAGATTTGGACCACGGCCGGAACCCCGGTGGTCGCTGTTTCATATCCGACTAAGATTCAAATTTTCATTTCACCCTCAATCATCATCACCCAGTATCAATGCAAGTCTCCCAGACCACAGCTGATACCTCGGATGATCAAAATGATAAAGGATAATTAGCCTATACGATGTGAGTAGTTCACGCTTCAAATGCTTAGAATGCATGTATTCCTACAAGAAAACATTATCCGGATACATGAATCGGTAAAAGATGCTACTCATTTTCACTGCTAGCTTGAAATAGCTTCCTTGCATCATCCAATCACTTGTCACCTAGCATAGCTACATCATCATTTACGATTACAAAGTGAATGGATGTAACAGTCCTAGGCGATTGAAGAATACTCATATTGTAGTGGATGCTGCTGATCAGAATGGATATCAGTAATATATGTTGTGGGGGCCGCAGAAATCACAGGCATTCGGGACACTTTCAGTGGACTGTGCAGCCAGCAACTGCATCCGGGAGTCCTCATCCAAAGTGAGAAGTGCTCGTTGAAGTAGTTTTGTCAACTTCACAGCCAATACTAACGGATCTTTGTCTATCCCAAGTTTGTGCTCCGGAACTACTACATCGCCAGCTACCTGTCAACTGGGCTGTCAAAATCTGCCTCCAGGAGGATCATCACCACCACCATGTTCCACGCTGTCACACACCGACTTCACTCTACCCCTCAGCATTGTGCCAAGAACCACAATATCCGCTTCTGGATCCCGAACACTCACCAGATCCGCGACTGACTCAGAGTCCCTCCGGGAAGACCTCTATGTTTCCATCCTCCAACACTGCATCCCACGGAATCTTCATCACGTCCAGAAGCAGCGACACCAATTGCAGCAAACGACAGGACTGAGATGCAGGAAGGGACGTTTATTATTAACATCTTGTACTGTAGTCATCAAATACTTTACACTTTCTAATAAGACAACCATTTGGACAATGTGCTTCATTTCCTTTTCTTATCCTATCTCGATCTGCTCTCAATACGCCCACACTGTCTCATGTGTTTCTCTGAGCAGAATCTCTACCCATTGTTGGTAATTGTCTATGATTTCTACCGCCCTCTCAACACATACTACTCATTTCCATTCTGATCCACAGCGCCCAACACAATATGACAAGAGGAAATGGTAGTTTAGAAATTGTGATCAATTTACAATAGCCTACCTGATTAGGTGAATACTTGTCAATCCTTTGACATAAATCAACAAAATACTCTTCAAATGAATACTTCCCTGAAATATCAATGTACACATCTGTTCCAATGATAAGACCAAGCCAGCCATCAGGTTTGTAATTCGGTTGTGCACGTAGAAATATCAATGGTTTACCCAACTTGATGGCATATCCTATCTCTGAAAGGGAATTTTTATGGAGTAGGAGTAAAGAGTTCACTTCAATATTTAGATAGTTTATTGAAAGATTTCACAGTTTTTCATTGCAGCTTTTAAATTATTCAGAATGTTCCACAAAATACCTAAATATCAATCGAGTTCACTTTGCCTTCAGCACCGACAAAGCCTTGTGAACAGAGACCGAATTCCAGGTGTATACAAATAAGCATGTGTGATGGTGAATAATTAGCATTCTGCCCAACTGCTTCTATGTCTGATGACATAGAAATTCATGCAAGATGAACGTGAACAAATGGCAGTCGGACACCAGACTTACTTCATCAAGTACGACAAACAGTGAAAATGTTTCGGATAGAAAGATGGACGGTGGTTTTACATTTATAATATCTGTTATATGTAATCAATGAATCCGTTTCAAAAGTATCTGTGTTGTTAGGATTAGCTAGATGACTTTAGACAGACAGACTATATCAACGTAGGACGCCACACACGAGTGGATCGATTCGAGTTGCCACACTTCACTTTGATCGATTTCCAGTCATGTCTATTTTCTCAGAGAACCCAGTCAAGTGGTCTACACCCTTCTACGTGGCTCAGACCAACGGTAAAAGACTTTGTGAACAGCTGCCACGTTATGGTCTAACCATTTTGAGCCTTCTCCCAACCTAGTATAACTAATCTTAATATTGCATATCGAAGTAGACAATAGCTACGCATAGTCAACACATACCTAAGCCACCTCAGTCGATGAAGTTTCACATTCGTTGGTTCGATGTAAGCGGAAGACATGTGAGCCAGTGTCTCTTCTCATGCTTGAAGTCAGTGCTGATCAGAAACAAGTGATTGTCAGAACAAAATTTCAACGGACCATCAGTGTTGTCTGTCCATTGCCATGGAATCCCGTACACACCTTAACAATGCCTTTCCGACTAACTCGAATTTCCTACTCAAGCGTTAAAGTCGCCTGCTATTAAGAATGTATCTCAACGACTTAACTTCTGCAGCAGAATTGACTGCTTCTGTTAGAATCCATCCTTTGTATCATCTGAACTGCAGTCGGTGGGTGAGTAGGTGGAGATCACAAACAAATATCGGTTAATCTCACACTTCCTCATGAGTCTTACAGATTCATCCGGTCGAGGAACACATAGACGGTTGTTGTCTGATATCCAGTCGAGGAGTGCGCGTCTTACTCTACAACTTAATGCAATGTCTACACCATCCAGGCTATGAGAGCTGGCCACTAAGTCTCTCGACTCTCGTCAAATGAATTTCGAAGATTCCCGAAACTCACCAGATGAGGTCAAGTGCTTGATAAGCACACTCAAATTCCCTAAAGGTACCTCAGAAATACAGCGAACGTCCATGGCTCGAGACTCGAGAGTTCTGGCGATAGATGCCTGCAGTTCAGGTTGGTATAAAATTGGAGTGTTGGAAGCTCCCAATATGAAATGGATAGCGCGATCATAGGAGGATAGGAATGAGGTTCCGATGGCTTTCATGGTTGATAATCGTCTCAGAGTGAGAGGCTGGTTACGTTGTAAGAGGGTTGGTGTTAACATCAGGAGGAGAAGACAAAGGAGTAGATAGAGTTGTGAAGGGCAGAATATGTTTGATTGGGTCTTGTATGCTACTGGAAGCATGTGGGTGGTTGACGCCTCCCGTCTACCCATACCGTAGAAGACTACTTATTTTTAATGTAACTGTAAGAGAAACATATTTGTGTGAGCGCAGAGTCCAAGGGACATCTTTATGAGGCCTGCCACACACAGTTATTTGAGGATTGTTGGTGTGAGATTTGATTGTGATAACTCTGGATAGAGAGAACCCTTACTGTCAGTACCGAAACACCGTGGGACAGTGAGGAGTGTGCTTCTTTGGGAACCAATATTTTCTATCCTCCCTAGACGCCGGGAAGGCAGCTTCAACATACTACTGCTGGCCATTAAAACGTAACACATTACTGCTGTCACACCTCAACCAAGCAGCAGTACGTCTTCACCCTTAGATTGTCATCATCATCAACACTATACAACAGACCTTCCTGGAACAGCAGGACATTGAGGGGACAACTGTTTCAGCCAGTGTAACTCTTTGGTTCATTACGATATACAAGCCGGACCACCACACCAATGTAGCAGCTACCCATCAAGCTTCTCATGAAATGAAAAATCAATCGTCGAATAAAGTGAACTTCACGGGCGAATTTCCAGCATATACCTTCTTCAACGTAAGCATCTTTTGGAACAGGAAATTAGGTGGATAGTTCATTGTTGCACATTTTCGCTTAGAAAATAGGCTTACCTCTCACAAGCGAATGTTTCATGAGAAAAGATAAGACTAATTTCAAGTACTACTACTGTCTACAGGACGTTCAACAGCAACAATTGTATTTGGGGGTTTGTGGGGATTTTGTGATTTTTCAACTTGGTATTCATCATGGACTGACATCAGTTGGATGAACATTGGAAAGGTGGGAGCACTGGACAACTGTCTCATCCTAGTATGACATTAGTCAACTGTGCGCTCCATGACTCCACTTCGCTAGGCATCGAACGCAGGACCTTCATGTTCCGTGCCCAGCACTTTACCATTGAGCCACTGGGTCGGAATCCAATGCTCCATAGTACTAAGTCCTATCACTTCACGATACAGCGTGACCACCACTCAATGTTATTGTTGAGTATTTGTCCTCACGGCCACCAGGTTTGCCTCACCGGTAACAACTGTATTCTGTCACTGCATGTTCACATCATATAGATGAGGTCAACCCTTCTTCGAACGACCGACATATATAACTATATTTCCCTGATAATGTCAATAAACTTTTATCGACTAACGAATAGACTGTTATCATTTACTAAGACTGTAGTGAACATTTCAATTTTCATTTACAATGTATTCAATTCTAATTTCTACACTTTCTTCGTTACTCGAAATGTTTGCAATTATCTCAATCATTTCCACTTACCACGTTTTGTAAAAGGACTTCTTTGATAATTCTCAGAAAACAGAATGCATACAACATAGGCTTTCTCCACTGCTTCCGCCATCCCATCTAAGATATTATCAGTATTCTTCATATCATCTACATCAAACCATACCTAAATAAATCAAAAGTATTTTTCAGTGTCAATGTGGATAGTAGTTCCAGTATAATTTCTGTCTAGCATACAGTTGGCGTGAATTTCATATACTTATAGGCTAATGTAGTATATGGTATAACAAGTAGATGAATGAAAGAAAGCCTAGCTACAAATCCAGTATACGCGGAGAGACAAATGAGACCTGTATACTGTGTTATCCGGAGCAACTCGAAAATTGCTTCATTTCGTTTCTTGGATGAGTGTAGAACTTTCAGTTTCAATCATTTGTTGTTCATTTAAATATTCCCAACGGCTAAACATCAGAATATATACTGATCACTTAATGTTGTCATCATGCATAATGATAAAATTATTACTGCATTCAGACACTGTCATCTATCCTAGCTGTATTCACTCATAGACGGGTGAAAAATTTGAAGACTCCACGAAGTATAAATGGCTAAATGGCTCTCGTTTGTCGTCATAACAAAGCTCTTTGTTAAGCATATTGTAGCTTTGCTAACCTATTGCTTCGCATGTTTCTTGTCCATTTGCTTGTTTGTTGCATTTTCCATTCAGTATCGCTGATTATGTCTTCCTACAGAACCTGCTCCACTAGTCGACTGTAAACTCCTGTCATTTATACGCATCATATTGTGACATACACTACTTATATGCCCTAACCCCGTCACGATATGATGAATCATGAGTTTCACTTTTATCACATTTGGTTGAATAGATGCAAATATGTACCAAATAAGTGAATATTTCAATTCATTTTGTTTTTCTAGTCTTTCACATTAATTTAGAATGTATGGCTTTTAGAGGGAAATCGATTTGATGGGTGTTACCTTTAGGAGTTCTCTCTTACAACTGTGTTGATGTAGTGTTTGAACAGTTCAAAATGTGGCCAGCAGATAGGATTGTTTCAATTTTAAGCACTTTTCCTCAACACTTGCACATCTATCTCGTTTTACCAATTGTAACTCGAGAGTATGTTACCAGTTGGCATGTAGGCTTTCTGTTCATCAACACAAACAAATTCTTGAAACCTTATTGGTTTTCTGATAAAATACATCAATCTTGAACATTCTATTATCAATACTCGTTGATAATTAAAAGAACTATTCGTTGAATATTTCAGATCTATCTGCTTATTACTTCTATCTAAAACAATCCTAATAAACTGAGATGTAAGTTTTGTGATGACTGTCGCCTACTCGAGATTTCATTCATTCCTTCTGCTCCATCTACTTCTTGAATCGTAACACATACTTTCTGTTCACAAACACAAATTATTCCTTGTATCTTGAAACCAAATTACAGATTCCTGATTTTCAACAATATGATCAACACGAAATGAATAATTTCGTCTAAATCATCTTCATGTTTTAGTGGATCGATAACTTGCTTTCTTATCATGTTTATGGAACAATAAACAAAACTCCATCCATTTAATTTTTTGACATTCCCCTCATTGGTTGGTCAAACCCGGTGGTCGCAGGTTCTAATCCGGCCACAGTCGAAGTTTTCATTTCACCTTTAATCACCATCACCCAACCCAGTATGAACACTAGTCTGCCAAACTACGACTACCTCAGATGGTAGTCAAAATGATAATCATTGTGATGCTACCGGCTGTCATGCTAATTCAGTTTGATTTGGAGTGGGATGAGAAGTGGTGACTAGGCAGACAGTGTGAATACAATCGAGTGGTAGTATGGCGTCATGAATTCACATGGTAGTCGGGTAGAACCCTAGATTACACATATGCCGAGACAGATCAGAATTCTCATTTCAGATGAGGATTACATGAAGTCAGTAAGAATAAAATTCTATTCTATCTCTCTGTGATCAAAGTAAACAACTTGTCCCCTAAAATATCTTAAATATACTTCGATCCTCCAAAGTTCGCCTGATCATGTAGGGTCAAATACATAGAATGTATAATCAGAAGACACTTAATATCACTTTCCCACTTATCTCCCAGAATAGTCAACCAATGGAGTGGACAAAATAATAAAGTCGACTGTTTTATTGCATGTAGTGAACCATAACCACATAACCCCAAGTATACCACTGAGTGTTATTTCAAACCTCCCGAGAGGTGTACTCCTACATCTACTCTTTTGTATCTGAGAGGCCTTGTCAACATATAACTTTAAACCGGAACTGTGTGTGCAAAAGCTGGTTGCATGAATCGCTTTATCGCTGAGGTTCTGGCTAGTTGTGATTCACAAAATTACCTCTTCCCTGTGTCAATTTGTTGCTTTCACCATCTGTAAATCAAAACTCATCCTTCTCTTTCTCATAATCTTCACCTTATATCGTTCGGCACAATGTTCACTCTCAAGCAAACATGCAGCACATTCATTTCTGCATCTTACATCTTTGACACTTACTTTGACCCTTCAAGAAATATTATTTGTACTCATAAAATACATCCCATCTGTCAACTTGTTATAAAAGTAAAAAAAATAAACAAGCAAACTCGTTATTTTGACCTTGGTGACTTACAGAAGAGTAGACGATGCTCATTTCTTTTTGTTTAGGACTCGTCAGCTGGATGCACCTGCACACTCATACAAGCCCACCTAAAAACAGCATAGGTAGAGCAACTCGACCCTATATAGCAACGAGAGATTAAAAATATCATAACAACTGCAGATACCCGTTACAGAAGAGATGGCTATCGTGGCCTAGTGGCTTAGTGAAGAAAGCCTCAGCGTTTGAAGCGATCGATACCGGGTTCGAGTCTCAGTGGAAACAATATCACCCACTGATGTGCAGGTATATACAGCTCATGAGTCCTGAATGGGATAAAAGGTGTGTCCTTGATTCCTCTGCTAGTCACCAAGATCAATACGACATTATGAATGTCCGACAGTAGTATCGAAGCATTCGGATAGGAGCCCATGTGCCAGCTGTAGAGGTCGAGGCCTCGTATGGCAACGGGAAATTACAAATATCATAACGAGCAAGTCTGTAACTATTCATCAATCTATCTCAACTGAAAACCAATTACCATAATAGGTATTTGAGAGTAAAAATGTGCTCAAGTGGAATTCTGTTCCCCATTGCTTTTAAATTGCTTATTTAAGCCAATGTATTCTTAAACATCTGAGTTAGACATCAAACGAATTATGAAATAAAGAAAAGGCAGTCAATTTCACTTTCAGGATTCTCTTTACCTTGTAATGTTTTTGTTTTAAATGCTTTATCAAGTCCACTGCTACATTCTTGTCTCGATGACTGTAACTCAGCATTACATGTTCAACTGTAGCACATGAATTCACTTTAGAGGACACCGACAAATTCTCATCTGAATAAAGTACAGAGAAAATAAAACGATAGTTATGCAGTACTGCTAGTGTCTTTCCTCTTCTGAAGATTTCAGAAATGAGGTAGTAACAGTAAACTTTGAAATCACCAACCTTATGATCTTAACCACTTCTTATTTCATCGATATTCCTCTCCACAACTCAAAACAATAAGGGCACAACAAAGCAGCTCTATAGAGTCTCTAGAAACACTTCAAATATGCTAAAAATCTCTGGATATGTTGTCCAAAATCATGTTGACGTAGTAGCTCGGTATATCTGCGAGCTTGTAGGGTGAGTGTAACTTTGAGAGCGGATGAATGCACTAGGGAGTAGTGGTGATATAAGGGTGATGATTGGAGGTGGAATGTTCAAGTGAGATGGGGTAGGATGTGAGCCATTTTCATTTCACCTTCAATTATTACGCGGCATCATATACGTCAGTCTACTGAAACACAACTGTCTCATATATTCTCAACAGGAGTTCATTTTTTATCAGAAGTGAAACATACTAATCAACTGAATGGCCGGGAAAATGTTTCACAAACACAGCCTGATTAACGGTTTCTAGTCTTACAGAATTACATCATTCACATCAGTCCTGTAGCAGTTTTCAAGGCAGAAATATGAACATTACAACGGTCACCAACTGAAGCTGGCTGCATGCTTAATATTCCACAAAAAACACACTAACTCAGCATAGTTGTAATGCTTTCCCATCCATAATCTTGTGGTTGTGGTCAGAGAAAAGACAGATTTACCACTATTCCATCATAAAAATCAACGCAAGGAGTAGTGAGTTAAGCTAGTCATTTGGTTGTAACTTTCACATGGACACTGACATTCGTCATCACAATGTCTACATCACAAATGAAAGTATGTTGAGTCACACCTGAGTTATCCAACGCAGGGAGTGAATGCCTCACCAGTAAACTACTGTGGGTTATTGTGATGATACTTGTAATTTCCCATTACTATACAAAGCCGAATTGCTCGACCTCTGTTAGCAGACTGGTAGTATAGAGGCATCCACATAGGAGCCCATCTAACAACAGCATAAGTCAAGCAATTAGACCCTGTATAGCTAGGGGAAATTACAAGTGTCATTACAACAACTGATACCCATTCCACAAGAGATAGCTATCAGGCCTCAGTGACTCAGCTGATAAAACTCTTGAGTTTGAAGCTAAGGGTAATGGGTTCCGGCTTCAGTGGGAGCAACACCACTCACTGAGGTTCAGGTACATCAGCTGACGAGTCAAACTATTAGTTCAGAATGATGAGTAGAACGCTATCTTATCTCCACTGGTCATCAGCTCCCAGGCAGAAAAGATGTCATGTGAAATACATATATTAGAAGTTGAATGTACACTCTCCTGATGAATGCTAACAACTACAAAACTTGGCTAATAGTGTCCTGTCTCAAACTATTCGGTAGCAACTAATGTAATCCATGATATTCAGCAACTCAGATAACCGTCTGTACTTCGAATCTGTTCAACATAACGTTGCCAGTGTAACAGACTAAACATTACAATTTTTCACTGATCATTTGCTGACTAGCACAAATCAGATTAAGGATAAGCATTTTTGAGATAACACTACATATATTATTGTTCTCCGACAGTCTTCCACGCTTGACTTGTATGTCCAATTTGATTAGATGAAAGATTTAAAACTGAGTACAATTCATCGTACACTGGATCACTTCGTGACTTTCGGACAGAGGTAAAACATGTCGTTATATGTATTACCACTAATAATTGTGGCCTAAAATTGATTATGAACAAACAGACAAAGTGCCTGAAATCTGTTCAATAAACTTATTTTCACACTGCATCATTCAACTGACTCAAGTGAGTAAATACAATTAAATATTCCATAAGTTTTAACTAACATATTGTATTGCACACACACATATATATCAACTTACCTTCATTCAGCTGCCACAACAACCCGTGTAGTGCTTTCAGTAAACTTACTGCATACTCAGAAGTTTTCAGTTCCACAGCCATTTGCAAATCTTTTACTACATCTTTGAACTCATTTCTAATTTTTCGCCTTAAGTTAGGATTGAATGACAGTGTCCACAAGACGAGTAAAGCCTCTTCTAAGGTCTTCCCTTCAAAGTACACTACAATGGTCTTAAAATGTGGCAGTATCTTGTCGAAGGACAAAAAATCACTGTCCCCATCACTTGATATCAAAAGTCTTAAGCCTAAAATAGAGGGAAAATAAACATTCCGAGTGATTTGTCATGATAATCCCAGCATACAAATACAATATTAATGATAGGGCCTTATAAATATAGACCTAAGTGACTCACACTTAAATAAATTGGCTGAAATATATTATCATAATTGAGAATTTTCAAAGATAAAAGATCGCAGTCCTCACTTGTCTGGTCCAATCGAATGTCAACCAAAGTAACATTAACAAATCACTAAACGCTGTGCTTTACACCAAATAGATGAACAAATATTACTCCACTGGTTTAAAAAAAGATGGAAAAACAGGCCGCTTAAAAGGTGGACTACACAAAGGTTTGTACAATGACCATCAACAACGGTGAGAGATGAAAGCCAATAGGATAAATGAGAAGATCGATGCGAAAGAAAAAACTATTCACCAAAACCACTGTCAAAGAAATATTTGGTGTTAATGATCCACTCATGAGCAAGCCAGTTGAAACAGTCAATAGAATGACGTCGAGGAACAGCTCAGATGATCTTGTTCTGTTCCACATTCACGTACATTTCAGCCTGATCCTGAACAACAACAACTATGTGGCATCGCAAATCAAAAGTCGAGTAGAGGTTGCGAAGCCCATGGTTAATTTTAACTGAGTATGTTAAACGGCACCAACAGACCATCATCACAAGTATTCAAAAGTATTCAGCTATGAATGTTGTTGAAAGTGGCTAAAATACAATTCGGAGTATGGGAATTGCAGGTGATCCTACTGACAGATCATAACCATAGATTTTTCCGACCTACAAGTAAAAAGAAAATCCTGTGCGTAGTGACTACACAGAACCTAGTCACAGTAAAGTAGTGTTGAAGCTTTGAGTTGTTACGATCATTTAACTCCCAATCAGATCTGATATTCAATACCAGTCATGCATGTAGTAAAATATAACTTTCCTGATTGAGACGATTTGTGAGTATCTTTTACTTAAGTTATGCCATGTAATCACATAACCTAACTGAAAGCTGTACGCCTAAACTCCCAGCAATGTGATGAAGCACATGCTAGAACTACACTTTCCCTCCATTCATATCCAATTGCATCATAGACGATGCTTCTTTCCTTCGACTTCTCGTGGATTAGTCCTCGCACTGGAAGATTTATCATGTACCAAGACATGCAAATCACAGATTCGTATAAAGTAAGGATGTTCACAGATATCAAGACATTCAGGACAGGTTCGCCATATTCTTTGTTTTCTTGACAACGCCGAAATGTATGTGGACCATCAAGGTAATAATACACATGCCAAAGTCAGACTTTTAAGCCAATCAAGTTTGCCAAATGATTGAGTTTTAAACTCCAACCGCCACAGTAGATAAAGACATTTGAATAGTATGTTTCTCAATCATCTACTCCCATGTGCTACACAGCCGGAGTAAAATTAGGCTAATCTAATCCTTTCATTTGGCAGATTGAACCGCAATACCAGTATGCAGAGTATTTCAGTGTTTGGTGGAGTGGCAAAGAGAACTCTAAATTGTCTGCTTGAAGTCTATGAGTAGTCAACTGAAGTTGATCATTGGATAATCAAAGTATGCAAGACGAAGCAGGCTAAAGTGAAGCTGAGAAATACATTAGAAAATTTGTGATGGCCCTTTTACATGATGAAAATTGTCATCCCAATTTCAGGCCTTTTGTTTTCAATGTTGTCTTGTCCACAATAGTTACCATCAAAAGTCGCTATAATATCATACTAGGATATTCACGGTCACGAAACTCACCTTCACTGTAACAAAATGCTCGCAAACACAACAAAACTAATGTTGATAGTGTCCTGGGAGGCCTCCAGATTATATCTTTCTGCAGGACAGTAAAAGTAACAAGTACTCTTTCTGAAACAGCACGAAGCAGGTTGGGAGTAACTTTGCTGTATAAACTCACTACACAGTAACATTGATGAGGAAACATGTCCAGTTGGAAGGATTAAGTAATTCATTTTGACTGGGAGTAGAATCTCGTTCACATAAAGCACCCGTATTCACTCAAACTGAAAGTCTTAGCTAAAATACTGCATAATTCCATATCACAGGGAATGTAAATTACATTCATTGATCATTGAGTGAATGTATCTGAACAAAAATGAAACATTGTAGTCATCAGCTGGCGAGTTCGGCATACAAGTAATGTAAAGTGAGTTGGCCAATTGGTGTCTGGTTTCAGCTGAGATTTCTGGAATAGGATATGACAACACATCGAATGCCACTCGTGTTGCTGGATGATTTCGTACTTGGTTCATTGAACAAAACGATGATTTCAATGCAGTGATACCTCGTATTTTATGCGGGTCCTTGTAAATGACGATGCTATGCGAGCAGGAGTAATGCAGCGATGTATGAGTGTCCACAAATTCTCAATACGGATCCTAATCGACAACTTTGAAGCTCATGACATCAAAGCCTATTAAGCTCTTCCTGTCAGTGTGTTTGGAAAATGGCACAAACTTCAAACTAAGTACATTACCAGTAAACTGTATCATTGATTTCAAACATGTTCAGAAACGATGCACCTTTTGAATTTTTAGGTGTTCGGAAACACAGAAAGAGTGAATAAACAAAAGCATTCTGACAGATTTTATGTTTCACGTCATGAGAGCGGATAAAAGCTTAAGGAGAATTAAAGGAGACACCTCCATCAATTTGCACGAATTAATCCATTTTCAAGGCATACACGAACACAAAGCATAAGAGAAATGCAAACAGGTGAAGTTTACCTTTCAGAATTTCTTCACATTTGAATCCACAAAACCTCTCTGAATGGCTTTTAATCTTGGGGACAAGAGTATTTACAAAAAATTCAATCGTCTTCTCTTTCTGATCCTCTTGTTTATATGTGTGTGCCAGGAACATGTGCGATGCTACCTAGGAAGAAATAGTTTGTGATAACTTCATACCTGCACATTTTTATTCTCACTAACAATAAAATGCTTCACGTTATCAACCAGGTTCATTGTTCGGAAAACACTCAACACTACTGTGCTTTCGTGACACACAAAGTTGTATAGACTTTTTATGATCACTTCCACCAAAAATGCAACTTCCTACTAGAATAATTGTTAAGAGTAGCTCTCTTACACGTTTCAGCTCTCTCTCAACGAGATTTGAACAGAAAGATAATAGACGAGAGATTTCGTCCATATACGTTTTCTGCGACGACATTGATTCTGCCAGTGAAATGCTAAGCTCTAAATAGTTACACAACGCAGACTGAAGAGATGCTAACAGACTAATAAACTGATCGTCAACAGATATATGTCCAATCTCTGTGGACTGCAGAGCCTTCGTTCCTAAATCCACAAACATCTTCGCAATCCCCTGAGAACAGTTTTCTCTTGACAACACATTTGTTGCGATGTAAAGTCGATATTCATCGGCTAAGTGCTGCGGACACTGAACAGCGAAGTAGCTCTCCGTAAACAGTTCTGTTAGTTCCTTAAATTCATAAGATCCATAGTCGCTTCTTGAAGAAAACTTCAACATTTGATTCACTATCCTGGTGGTGCAATCAACAGCATCTTTTGTTGAAAAATCCATTATTCAATGAATAATAGTTGTTATACTGTATCAGGAATCGCATGGTTTCAACTCCTTTTCCCCTCAAAAATCAGTCGGTATTTTCATCACTTCTAAACGTTACGTAACACTGACAGAAAGTGTGTAGAGCCGATTTGAGAACAGATTGTTTGTACAATCACTTTTGGCGAATATCAAGAAGCGAAAACTAGACGACTATTTGATATGTGCGCGTTGAATTTAGCACTTCCAATACCCAATGTTGATAGTGCGAGCGTAGAAAACTGGTAGTTTTTGATCTGTCGCGTCTAGTTCTCAGGGCTTGGTTCGTAAGTAATTTGCAATTTGTAGAGTGATTGGGGAGCTATGGGTTGCTCGGAAGTTCAGGGAACTGCCGTGACTCCTATCCGTGTAGGTACCCGAAAGATAATAATGAGGTAGTGGTAAAAGAATGAAGAGAGAATAAAGAAAAGAGAAGAAAAAGAAAAATGATTATATAGGGAAGAGAAAAGGGAAAGAGAAGAAAAGGAGGGGTGAAGAGAGAAATGAGAACGAAAGAAAAGTATTTGGGAATTGCCCGAATGGTCGCGTGGGTTTGGTTCCTACAGAAGAATTAGTAAGTAATGTGGGTGTATAAAGGGAGGGATAGTGAGTGGTAGTTAGGAGGGAGTTGGGGGGTACTGAGGTTGGTGACTACCTGAGTACGTCCGTGGTAGTCCATGCGAGGTGACATAACTGTCTAATCGCCTCTTGAATGAGTCGACTGAGGGAGTTATAACGATGTGTCGCGGCAAGGCATTCCATTAAGCACATACTCTTAGGGAGAAAAATTTGGACCTGAGTGTGGTGTTGGCTCTCTGGTGTGCTATCTCAGCTGGGTTTTCCCCGTGAAGATCGTTGAGTAGCAGGCAAAATTGATTTGTTTGCATGGTCTGCCTGATGGGCAATCATGTATGCCATAATAAGGTCACCCCTTTTCCTGCGATAACCCAAGGTAAATAGGTTTAGGTGTTTAAGTCCTCCAGGATACGTCTTTCCCTTAGCCCCACAACTGATTTTGTCGCAGTTCTCTGTATTCTTTCAAGGAGATTAGAGTCTCTCTTGAGTGTTGGAGGAACCACCGTATTGCACTTACAACATCCAACATGTAAACATCAAACTAGACTTTTAGAAGTGGTGAACAAAGGTTTCATGGGTCCTGGACCTCACTAACTAAGATACTTTCTATGAACAGAATGGTTTCTGTTTCATAGGGTTTATTTTTTCACCGGATCAAATAAAGGTGGAACTGCGGAGAAAAATAACTAAATACCTCTCTATTAATTGTGCTGCAATCCACAGTTTGAAAGACTATTGGCGGCTTCTTGAGTGTTGCCTGTTGGCTCCTAAAGGCTCCGCTCGTCCACCAAACCTTTATTTGAAAGTATCTGGAGTAGGGGGCAGCGACTTCCTCAGGAAGTAAGTTCCACAAAATACATGCGTTAAGTGAGTTGGCATGCAACGACCAGGACAATTTCTAATGCTCTAAACTGGAAAGACCTCTCAGGTTGTGTTGTGCCATCCTCGTTCTTGTGTTACCATTTGTCGGTGTAGTCGGAAACGGATTTCAAACTCCAAACTTCATGTTGTGGGATTAGTAGACGAAGGTTCCCTGGTTTCTACGTCTATCTTACTGGAGTGCGCTGTGGCTTTGGAATGGTCACAGTTATCCTCCTGATTCCCAAAAACCTGAGAGGATAGAAACACGACTATTAATTACTCCGGTCTGAAGGTAGTATTACAGCACCTGATCTGGAAATGACGGAAAGTTTCTTGAGTACAGCCCTTCGGTACCGTAGGGCTCGAGGTGTGCGTCTATCCTCATTTTGAAGGTATCAAGGGATGGGGCTGTAACAGCTACTCAAGGAAGGGAGTTCCACAGTTTACAAATTCTAACCGCAAATGAGTTAGCACGGATCTTTGTACATGTTCTCTCACGTTCTATTCTTAACGGGTGACCCTTCAGGTCGCGTTTCCGAGTAAAGCTTAGAAGGGGTCTGTTAGGATGAAGAGGGTTATCGGCGATGTGGTACATCACGATCATGTCCCCTCTGATCCTCCGGTATTGTACTGGATGCGGCTTAAGAGCAACTAAGCGGTCTGGGTACGGTTTGTGTCGTAACCCAATCACTTTCTTTGTAGCTCTTCTCTGTACCCGTTCTAGGATGGCCTTGTCCTTTTTCAGGTATGGCGACATCACAAGCGAATTTTTCGCGCGATGAGGGTGAATGTACAGAGCACATACTGTGGTGGAAAGAGGAGTTACTCCCTGAAGTTCGCAAAAGAAACCCCAAGACTCCATAGGCCTTGTTGGCTACAAGGCGGCAGTGGACTGAGGCTCCTAGTGTGTCACTCAATGTAACTCCCAGATCTTGATCCATGATAGTGACAGATATTTATTCCGCCCAGAGAGTAAGAACTGTGACTGCTTTTATATTTGTCAACTATCATTATCTTACACTTCGAGTTGAGAGGAAGCAGGCTTTCTGTGGTCCAATTAAGGATGTTCGTAAGGTCCTCCTGGAAGACCGAGATATCCGTTGGGACCTGCATTTCCCTCCAAATCTTCAGATCATCGGCATATAATAGTGAATGAGAATTGAGGGATTTTGGTGAGCAAGAAACAGTAGTGGGTCCAGAATAGAACCTTGAGGCATACCACTCAGCATCGGGAACCAATAAGATAGAGAGAAGTCAACCGTAACTGACTGCAACCTGCTGTAAAGATGATCTCTATGCCAAATTAGTGATTCATATGCTCACCCATGAGCTGAAGTGCTTTGCAAAGTATATCATGGTTTACTCTGCCAAAAACTTTTGAAAAGTCAAGTAAACCAATGTTATTATGGTTTTTCTACTCGACGTAGTGTCCAGCCATTCCAAGCTATCAACAAGTTGGTGTCACATGACCTTCATGACAGAAAGCATGTTGGCAGTCATTCAGGATTGTTTTTTTGAGTCATTGATCAGGGAATGAGTCATTTGTGTCTCTCTCCGTGATCTTCGTAACTGAGGAGATCAGGGATATCGGTCTGCAGTTGGAAGCAAGTTGCTTGTTTCCACCTTTATAAAATGGGGCGACAGTGACCCGTTTCCCATAAGAGGCCAACCTGCCTTCCAGAAACAAGCATTTGAAGAGGTTTGCTAGCGGGACGCACTCAACTTCAGCATGCGCTTTGAGCGCTCTTAGGTGAATCCTATCAACTCCTGGAGACTTAGCCCCCCTGTAATACGAGTGTCCGACAGACACACAGTTTTACCTCACAAATGCCAGAAGTTGCTTTGGAATTCGTGAGCTAGTAGGTTTGCTACGTTGGAGTTATAATGGAGAATCTCTGAACTGCAAAGTAAACGGACTGTTAATCTTCTGTTTTATCAGCGAGTACAGCGTCTGATGATTCCCCAGTAGGGTTCTACATAGTTGTGTCTGGTGGTTTATTCTACCATTCCCCATTCTCATTGTACATCTGTTACGGACGCCTTTGTAATTTAGCCAGTCAAAGGGGCTATTAGTGCACCCCCACAGGTTCCAAGACGACCGCTTGCGCCGTATTAGTTTGCGCGTGCTTGACTTAAGCCAGGAGGAGTAGAACTTGTTGGTTCTTCTCGGAGTCAGAGGAGTATCTCCTATCGTCTGGGGGATTGTGTTCTTCAACAGATCCCATCTGACATCCAGACACAGTAGGTCATCACAATTTAGGCAAGTGGAACCTCCCAGATCATGCTGGACCTTCCCGAAATCAGTTCTCCTGTAATTACTGACCAGCGAGTGATAAGGAGTGGGTGGTTTAGATGCAGAAATATTGAGGAAGATAGCGGCATGGTCACTCAAGCCAAGACGGTTCAAAACATTCAAGTTGGTTATCTCAGTAAACTGATTTGTGAAAACATAACCTAGTCGGAATCCCTTACCGTCAAGCCCCTTGGGAGTACATTGGGTGATATGTTCAGTCAAAGAGCTTTCCGGTAATAATTCCCAAAAGTCTTTCAGAGCAGTCGATGGACTTTCTGTAGTAAAACGTTGAGGAAAGTTAAAATCTCCCATAACGAGGACCTGTGAGAAGTTCAGCTCCAGAGCTTCTCCAATGGATTATATTAACATTTTATTCAACGTGGCATCTGCTGCGGGAGGGCGGTATAAGACCCAAACTAGGCACGGACCTCCACAGCATTTAATGCTACACCATAGGACATCTTTAGTGCCAATTCCATGAGATTGAATCTCATGGGCTTTTAGGGAACGGCATGTGTAAAGGGCAACACCACCTCCTGGACCCTCTGGTCTATCCTTTTGGATTAGGCTGAGCTGTCCTAAAAGAACTTCCTCGCCTTTTGCGTTCTCTGTGAGCCATGTCTCGAAGAATGCCGCATGCTAGGGCTATTCTCATCAACTAACAACCTAAGCTCAGGTATCTTGGAGTGCATGCCACGTACATTACTGTAGCTACAGAGAATAAGAGTACGAGAGTCGGAGGTCCCAGAAACGGGTTGAGTCAAGGATGTGTTGCCATCCTTTAAATGGACGGCTTTGATAAGTTTTTTGATAAGGCGGTGAAATCAGGGGCAACTGGATCCACGGATCTGCTCGAGTGACGTCTAGCGCAGGGTTCTTCGATCGGGGACAAGGTCGATAAAAACTCCCGCTTATGATCCAACTGTTCTGTCTTCAGGTGTGGGTTGGCCAACGGCAAGCACTTGAATCGCCTCTCATTCTGCCCTTATTCCCTGGGTCTGCACTCACCCATTTTTATTTCCTCAGGGAATGTGTCAGATACATTATACCAGGATTCCAAGGTAGTTCTAACCTTATCGGAAGAGTCAAGGGTTACGTGGAGTAGCCTGGAAGTACGAATGGTCGAGACGTCAGCCGGCCTTGGAAGACCATTAATTCTTTCTGCCCTCACATCGATTTAGAATTTTTCTGACAATATACCCCCACTAATTTATGTCGTGGACAAGTTCGGCGGTATCGGTACCCGAACATTCGGGAATCCCGTGTATGATTACTGAGCAGCATAGCTCTTGAGAGTGGATTTTCTTACTGTTGCGAAGAGGTTCTCGCACTGACCCGGGGTCAACCAGGCCTAATCCTGACGTCAGATAGTTAAAGCTTCACCAACTGACGACCCTTCTGAAGGGTGTGTTCGGACTGACGTGTACCATCGAGAGACCCTCCCAAAGTTCTAGGAG